ATCACAAATATCCTCATGGATGCAAAAATAAAACATGGACATTAACACAGTTTGGGCTGCAGCTGAGCTGGAAAAAAAACCCAAGCAGAATCAGGACAGTTATATCAGAGAGAGCAGCCGACTGAGAGAGGATGAGACAGTGCGAGAAAAGAAGAGCAACAAAAGAGGAGAGCTGTTCGGTGATGTTAAGGTGGGAAAAAATAAAGGTGTAAAACATAATGTGTTACTACAGGGATGTGAAAATGGAGAGAGAGAGAGCATAAAAAGAAAGACAAAGGACAGAGTGCTAAGCAGGGCATGAGGATGGGCAGCTGGCAGTTCGGAGGCTGGATGAAAGGCTTGCAAAAGCATTCGATTTATCATTTAAACCACAAACCTCAGTCTATTTTATTATTTGATGGATCAACATAAAGCTGTAACTGCAGCAAAATAATTGTTTTGTGAATGATTATCAACACATGGTATGGGTGCAGCTGTTCTGTACATTTCTCAGAGGTTTGTTGGAAAATATTAGTGAACAAACAGCCTTATGAAGGATCACAGCGGCTAGGTCAGAGGTAACATCATGGGGCGGTTTAGAGGAAGGTCAGTTCTCCAAGGCTGTGAGTGACAGACTGGGAAATGAAAATTTTAATCAGAGAAGCAGCAGAGGTCCATCAAACCCCGGCTTGAGGGACAAAAAGGAAGCATAGAGAAAACAATAGTACAGCTGCAGTGGTCCTTTGCTCAGATTGGATGGAAATGAAACGTTTTGCTCCATTTGCATAAATATGTGTCAGAAAAGTATCAACAAGACATGGTTTAGCATGGAAAGGGAAGATCATGGGAGGAGACACCTGAGTAGAATGGTCAGTCAAGGTTCAGATTTGTTTCTATATATTGCAACATTTGAAATGTACAGAGATCCATCCATCTATTTCCTCCTGCTTAGTCCTTGAGAGAATGCACACATGCACACGGAGAACATACAATCTCCATCCAGAAAGACCCCAGGCCTGGAATTAAACCTGCAGGCCATGTACAGAAATGCTTTCCATTATACCTAAGTGAGTTTTACAAATGTTCCGCAAAAAAGAATAGGGAAAAAAATCTATTTTCAATATTTTAAAATCTGCTATAAGCGTAGCAGGAGGAAAAAAAAAACTTGCATCAAAATGTGTTTTCACAAAGCTTTGAATAAATGCAACTAAATATAAACGTATCCAACATTTTTTCAGATTTCTATTTGACTTAAATCCTGGTAAATACACCAAAACTTGTGGTTGTAATACAACCAAATAAGAAAAGGTTCAAGAGAAATGGAAACTCATGTAATGTAATGAAAGCACATTGCTGCCAGAATGGTAGCACAATTACAAAGTCCTTTTTTTTTTTTACAGTAAACACAGTCAGCTGCCTTCATGCCCTCTTTTATGCAGCTGCCTCATTTTAGTGCTTCCTGCATATTTCCCTCTCACACAGTTCTGCATAAGCCTCCCTCTCTGTGCTCAGAGTGGCCTGGAGGCTTTCCACCTGCATCACAGCTGCCTGAAGCTTTTTCTGTCTCAAACAAAAGGAAAATAAAAAAGAAGCTCATAAATTAGGATGATGAAAGTCGCTCTAAATGTCTCTAAATTTCTGCTTTCTTCTTCCACAGGACCTGTAAGATATCTCAGTATTTCACCTTCACTACCAATATCATCATTCTGCCACTTATCCCACAAGCCAAAAATGCTGCAAGAACTGCAGTGATGAATGAGAATAGGCACGATGGCCAGAGGTGGTGTCAAGGTGTGGAGCCAGGAGCAGCTCCTATCCTGGAGAGCTGAACAGCTGCTTCCTGGAAACAGTCCATCACGATAAGGCAGGCAGTGGTAACACTGTCTATGTGGGGGAGGAGCTTCTGCAAGGACCCTATTGCAAACGGCTGGACATGCAGAGCGAGGAACATGTGTGTATGCACGTGTCCGTCCTTCATTAGGATGGATTCCTATCATCCTCAGAAAACTGGGCAGGAACGACCCTTGGTTGCCTCACCAAAGGGGCCAACAGGATCCAATCCACACGTTATCATTGTGCATAAGTGATGACCATTGCATACTCATTCCACAGCCCCACCCTCACCATGTGTTTGTGTTTAAATATGTGTCTGAGTGCAGAAGTGCATCTTCAGCGCCGGATATCGTCTAAAAAAATATATATAGATAAAAAAAAAAAATGTACCAAGTGTCAAACATGATGGCGGTTGCATCATAATGTTGGGCTGTTTCACGACTAAAACAACTGTTACAGAAAATAGACAAAAAAATACAGCAACCAACCACTGGATGTACTATCTCAATGTTTGCATTTGTGTTTGGAACAAGAGACAAAGCTAAAAATAAATGAGGAAACTGTAAATGACGTGCTTTCCAGGTTCCAAGGGGAAAAAAAATGTATTTTAATAAAATGCTCTTATCTTTAAAGGTGTGTATTGATGTGCATTATGATTAGGCAACATCATTGCGTCACCCTTGGTATATGTCAAACTTTGTGTTACTCAGAAATTAAAATATATAAATATATATCAAAAAAAGCATAAAAAAAACATGAAACCTGTTGAGTTTGATTCAACTATGTAAACATTCAGTAAATACAGCAGAATTCATCATCATACCAGATCAAATGAGGACTCGGATTATGGACACAGAGTCAGTTTCATCCCACTTCAAGTCAATGTACAGCTCAGAAATATCCGAATATGTGTAATTAATCCGCAGCTACGCAAAGAGACGCTCCACCTGTCTGTCTGCGTATGGAAAATGTAGCCTCTTCTTCTCTCTGCTGGGCAATATAATGTTGCACTGCGCAGAGAGGCAGTAAACGTTCTAGTCATATCAGAAAGAGATATTTAAGTATTAAAGCAGAAAAGAAAGTGCAAAAACGCCACACCAAACGTTCTCTTTTTTCAAAGCTCATTATTTAATGGTGTACAGAAGTATTTGATGCTGTTTAAATGTAAGATGTGATGTACTAATATAATTGTGTATAGTATTTCTTAGAGATGTTTATTTTCTATAAAATGGAATACGTTATTGCTTATAAAATGTTATTAAAAGAATCCATTGATGATACAAAACAAAAACAAAAAAAAAACAAAGAAGAAATCCCTTTTTTTGGAATGTCACTTGTCTTAAGTGGAAGCATGCCGTTTTCTTGATTTTCATGTCTGTTTGTTTTGGACTCGACGACACAGCATCACTTTGTTTGAAATGTTTTTTGTAACGCCAATGTTAAATATACCAGCACCTTTCAATGCTGCTACAACCAATGCCTGCTGTTTTTGTCTTCACTCATCGCACACTTTGATACATTAAGGGAAATCCCAGACTTAAAGGTATAGTGGAGGATTTTCACAAATCTTTGAAAAGACCCACCCTCTCCATCTTAAAAAAAATGTACATGCCCAACCCTGTACCCGCTCCAGACAGGGAATGCCTATTAAACGTGCGCAAGAGCCCTTTTCTCCTTGTGCACGCTCAGTTTAAAAGTTGCTGTTTGCATTGCTCATACAAGCTTACTGTCAAAAAGAAGATTTGCAATTTTTCCACTATGTCAGACTCTCCCAAAGTAAGTGAAAATGGGGACGAGCACATAGGACGACCTTATGTAAACATATCACCTGAATGATTGACAATTAGGAGGACCATTTATTTTGATGATCCACCCAGAAAAAGAAAATCCACTACTATACCTCCATCTCTAAACTAACTGTACAGTTTATATTAACAGACGAGACAGGACTTCACTGTATGCATAAAATAAAATAAAAAAATCAGATATACAATAAACTTTTAAATGTGCTTTAGGGATTTGGCATCTAAATAAATTATAAATAAGACAGGAAATCGGCTAAAGTGAATCAACACATTAAAAAACTCACCTGCTTTTTCTCAGTATTTTGTGGAAAAATTTTTTGTCTTTTGATTAGGTACGCACTGGAAAAAATTCTAAAAAAAAAAAAAAAAGAAATCCTTCTCAATGTTTTGATAAATGAAATCTATCATCCTCATAAACAAAGAGGCTGTTCAATTTTCCATAAAATGAAATTGAAACAGAAGCTGTGTTTCTTTTTAGGTTTTTGAAACTGAACAAGCTGATATCTTCAATTTGGTTTGTGTTTCTAGATGTTAAAATTGAATGTCGTAAAATCTAAGACACCAAAAAGAAAGTGTCTTACATGCAGTCTCCCTTCATTTACATCTTAACTTTAGCACAAAAGGCATAAGCTTTACTTTGTAATGTCACTGCCTACATATGTCAAGCATAGGACAGTATGATCTTTACGGTATATCTTAAAAAGCACCTCCCATGATACAGATATTTGGTGTCTGGATATAGGAAAAACAGAAAAATAATTTATTTTGTTTGTATAAGGAAACAAAATACACAATTTTCACTAACCTTTTCCTATTTAAGAGGTAGAGGTAGTTAAAACATATCACTGGTAAAGAAATGCATTCTCTTTCACTCTGGCAGCTAAGGTTCCTCTCAGGACATTTTAGATCATTTAAAAATCTGTATTAAACCAAATTAAAATTCTTCAAAACTTTTTTTTTTTTTTTTACAAAAAAAAGGACAATTATTAAGTTACAACTTAAACATCACTCTCTGCATGTCAATTTAAACTTAGAGGTTAAAATAAAACGCAAAACATTTCTAATTGATGCAGGAAGCTCAAAGGTAAACCAACATTTTTTTTTTTAAATATATATCTGACAAAAGAGGAAAAATACAGGTCAGTGCAAGTTATCAGACATTTCCTGGGATATTTAAATTTTCTTTGTGATGTTGGATCATTCCATGAATTGTTTACCTGAAGAAAAATAGAAACCTATAGGCCACCCTTCAACAGAGCCTGTCATTCCTGTAGATGTGTGTCCTAAGAAAGTTTAAAACCATCATTGTGATAATATTTTCATAATATGATTAACCAATAAAGACATGATGCATCAAGTTTTCTTTACAAAATGATTTAATATTTACATGTAAGATGGAAAAAAAGAACAATATAACAAGGGAGGAAATAATCTCAGTTACAGGACTGTACCTTAAAACAAAGCTGTTTCAAATATTTTCAAACGTCATCTGACCAACTATAAAAAAAACAGACTGGCACTGGAACATGAAAAAAACTTTTTTTTTGAAAATGTTTACATTACATAAAAAGAACTCATGATAATGTAGTTCATGTCAAATTATGAAACCAGTAAGGGGAAAGAGCAAATGTTTTCCTGGAAGATGGTGTTAAATACAGAAGAAAATGGATGTTTTCCTTTTGCCTCATTGTAGACTGTTTATGATATCATAAATATCCAAGACCTAAAAAGTTCAAAAACCTTAGATCTATGCTGTACAGTCATGACTTGACTAAACCTGCTCTAAGAAAAGCACTTAGAATGAATTTAATGAGAGGAAATGAGCTTGTATCACTGCTTATGCAAAATAACTCCTAATCAAAGTTCCTCCAGATTATAAATATGTTGTAAAATATGTACACAGCAAAACAAATACACAACAGCTATGAAAATAATTTCATAAAGCCTTATTGTTAACTCACTGAAAGCAGCCTGGCAGGGCTAGTGCAGATAGGAGGCGGGGAGGGTTAGCCAGCTGGTGACTAAACTTCTGCAGCATGGAGTGGCTTCCCACAGTCAAACCAAAGAGTTTGGTTACATTTTATTTATCAATCCCCCCCGAAAATAAAAAACCAAGGAAACTTTTCACTCCCACACGCTGAGCCCTCTTTGATTTGGGAAAAAGGTGCAGATCTGCCAAACAGCCAGGAGAAGGGAGGGTGGAGCTCCACTGAATGAATTCAGAGCAAACAGCTCCTCACCTCTCTGCTCCCACCTCTGGAAAGAGGTGGCTCCTCATTGTGGTCAAACTGGGGCACTGCAGTTTATTCTCACAAGGGAGTTTGGCCAGATTGAAGAAAAAAAAAAAAAACATACTTCCCATTTTCTCACATTAATTCATACATTTCTTTTAAATGACCATAAAGGAAAAGTGCCTTAAGATGTGGGGTCGGATACGTAGGAGGAGCAACCTGTCAGTTTGTTGCCACTACACATCAAATAGAGGCGGTTTCCGCAGAAGCAAGTCTCTACTCTGCCTCTACATGTGCGCTTTTGTATAAAACAGGTGTTTTAATATACAGCGTCCATGCAAGTCTCCCTCCCGCACCTCTGCTTTCCCTCCCTCTAGCTGCTGGTGACGGTGGTGCCACTGCCCAGTTTAATGATCATCTGCTGGCAGTCGTGGAGGGTCCTCTTGTCTCCGAGCTTCTCCAGGGTGCGCGCTGCGTCGGCCAGCATGCCCACCCTCTGGCCCGGAGCCGACAAGAATGAGGGGGGAAGGTAGCGGCAAGCCAGCATCACGGCCTCAGCCTGCTCCCGTTGGCCGGGCCGCGCCTCGCACTCCTCCTCTGCAGGCAGATAAAAAAACAAAAACATGAGATCACGGATGGTCAGGAGACTATATCAGAATGTGAAGCTTTATGTCTTTGCTTTCCTTGCTTCTTTTGTCACTTTACAACCACAAAATTCCACATTTTGTTGAGATTTTATGTCATATAAAAACAAAGAAACAAAGAGATGAATGTATTTTTTCCCCCTCAGTGTAAATTAAGTTTTTATGAAGCTGTTCTCTGAAGGCCTAAGTTTTCTTCACGCAGCAGATCTAGTAACTGCAGCGTAGATCTCCCTTGGGTGGTGGACACCCATGTTTTGCTGGGTTTGCAGTTCTGCTGCACGCCCTTCACTCTTAGACGAGGGATTAGAAAGTTCTGGTGGAGACTTTTCAAAGCTTCTCATATTGTTTCAAACCTAATTTTAACTTTAGACATCTCCTTAGATGATTAGCGTGTTTTTTTTTTTTTTTTAGGATGTTCTTTATTCCTGAATATCATCTAACATAACTCAGAGGCCTTCATAAAGCAGCTGTGTCAGATAATTGTTGCTTCCTCGAATCCCCTTAAGACCCAATGAAATGGGTTGAAGAGTGAAACGGGGTGTACAATACATTTTATGCTGTTGTCAGACAACAAAACTCAGAACTGCAATAAAAGAAGTAAGCAACCTGAGAAACTTCTCCAGAAATGTTCTGTGTCTGGGTTATTTACACGGATCAGATGAAATCTAAAACGAAAGCCTCTCCATACGGACAAACACACCTGTCTTGGCTCCGGGTGTTGCTCGGCGCCGCAGTGAACGGTCCAATAGCTGATGAGTTCTGGTGGGACTGGCCCCTGCCATCAGCCTGGCGGTAGCTTCGTGAAGGAACAACTGGAAAGAAGCAGAGAGAGAGAGAGATCAGAGGCAAAGAGGAAGAATGAGAGAGAGTGATGATGACTCACACCTAATGTTCAGCTCTACCTCAGAGACACTCGGAGGCTTTGTGAACAGCGCTGCCACAGACTCGCCTCAGGCGCTGTGTGCGTCTGTCTGTGTGTGTTAGGAGGGGAAGTACCTAGAATTGTATTTTACCGAGATTTTTACCATCTACTTATCCTGAACGCATTTAGTATGAGCTCTGCCTCGTTTACACGTTTAACATGTGATGTACATGTCCTGTTTGCGTACTAGAAAATTACAAATTTGATTACTTACACCATACAAGAGAAACAAGTCTGCAACAAACCTGCTAAACTAATGAACTGAAGCATTTCTTATTTGTGCTTCTGTTTTAAAAATTAGAATTTCTAAGGACTTTTTTTTAATAAAATATGATACGATGGATTTTTCCTTGCAGATACTTATAATGGGAAAGACAGGATTGTACGCAGCTGTATTAAAGTAATTGTCTTTTATTACCGCCAGGACTTTTACTTGTATAGATTTTCACATGTAAAAACAAAAATGATTGCAATTAATTGCATTTTATTCCTATATGTACTAAAATCCAGAAAAAGCCTATTTAACGTTTCTTGTACACAAGTAAATCTGACAAACAAGCAGCATCACTGACATAAGTCAGTCTGATAAACTAAACCGCGAACCACTGAAATGGACATGGATTTGTTTGTCTAGGTAACTGACTAGCTTAAGTGCTATATATGTTTTAAATGCACTGAATGTCGGATAGCAAATGTTGATCTCTGAAAGGCCATGCTTTCTGCAAAGCTCTACTGCCATTGTCCTGTTGTCAGTATTAGAAACGCAGCTTTAACTTTGGGTTACAGCAAACTCTGAACTCTTAAAGGCAATAATGCATTCCTTGTTAATCTGGATTTTTAGCATATTCAGCTAAAGGTATTGTGCAATAATTAATGTTAATGTACACATAAGTACACACTTCTAAAGAAGTACGTTTTTTTGTTTCATCATATATATATATATATATATATATATATATATATATATATATATATATATATATATATTTGTCCATTTTGTAGATGAATAATTTTCAAAATTAAATACAATCAGTTCATTACAGACCCTGTAATTAACACAATTAGATTAGTTTTAATCTTAACACCTAAAAAGTAAGAAAAGAACGCCGCTCCTTACTCAATGACATCAATATGTATAATAAGGAGAAGGATAGAAAAGTTTCAACATTTCTATAAACAGGATGGCATCTTTAGATCTGAAGTTCTCTGTAAAAACTATTGGATACCGTCTTTATGCCCGACGGCATTCAAAATGATGTTGTGGCAAAAAAAAACAAAAACAAAAAAACAAAAAAAAAAACAACAAACTGACCGTTTCTTTCCTTTCACTAACAAACATGTAGACTTTGCTAAACTCTTGGACTCCAGCTTGAACTGTTTGCTTCGGTTAGATAGGACTTTAACATAAAGGTGAAAATCTTTAATGCTGTAGGTCTGTTTCTCTTCCAAGGTTCAAATGTTTGGAATTAAGAACTTTTTAAATATGTTGCTTCGTGTCAGTAAAGTGAAAATTGGTTTAGCAGTGTTTCAGCAGAGTAATGAACCCTATTTACCTGAAATCAACCTTTAATGGTTACTGCTTCACCAGTGGTGCCCATAAATGTGTTTTATAAGGACTGATCACTGGCAAAACAACTGGACGCCTAATTAAAGCAGTTTATCGACCACCTGAAACATACAGCTAATAATTTAACCTACTCTTCTCATTGCAGGCCTGAAGCTGTGTGCCAGTTTGCGCAGGGAACAGAGGTCTTGCTGAAAGCCCTGAAGTTCTGGAGGAGACGCCTGATGAAGGCCGACCGGACCGGTGCTGCTCGCCAAGCCTGATCCTGTGGGACTAGAGCCTTGCTGCTGTAGACGCCAGATGTTGGTCCTCAAAACAAGCAGGAGATCACACACCAATAACTCCACAACCTGTAGGAATACGAATGGGATGAGTTCAAATACAGAAATAAGAGGCATTTTCAGAGTCCAAAAAAAAAAACTAAAATATCTTCCATCTTTAGATCTAGATGATGATTTTTTTTCTACCTTTCACAAGTAGACTGAAATCTAATGGGCCCAGAACAGAACTTATAGAGATTTTGCAAAGCAGAAACAAAAGCCTCATTGTGTGCTCCTTTGTTTGTGGCTCAGCTCTGTGTTGCACTGCAGGTACATTGCACTTTTAGGAGACACATGCAATGCAACTACAATGCACAACAGCTCTGGCCATAGACACACCCACAGCGTGAGTTGGCGGTTCACCAGAATCCCCATCTGCAGAATCCCATAGAGCAGGGGTAACCAATTAAAAAACAGTGGGGTCCGAATAAAGAAAATCACCAACCAGTAAAGGTCCGGAGACAATTTTTATCATAATCTGTTAAACAGAATTTAACATTGAAATAAAATGAGGTGTTTATGCACCCATGTTATACATTGAATTTGTAAATTAAAAAAAATAGAAAATTTTTCCATTTTAAAATCTAAAGTGTTTTTTGAAGTAGAGAACAACAATCGTTCAGTTCGGTAAATAGAAAATGTCCTGATTGACATATTTTCTTTTCTATGGCTTAATGAGAGCAGTGGGCTTTACGCTGCCATGCAAGGCTTTTAAAACTGGGTGTGACTGGCCCCGAAGCCATTCTCAAGCAGATATCAAGATGCTCATTCCTGAGCCTAGATCCTTTTTTTTTTTTGATTCTGTTCCTGGTGGAGAATCATGCTTCACAGCAGTAGGTTGAGCAAACATACTCAAAATATGCGGGGTCATCTTTGAGCACGATATTTCACTTTTCTTTCACCAGTTCACTGCGCTTCTTCCAGCAGTCCACACTTTCTCTGCTTTCTTTTTCTCATCGTCTTCTCCTTCTGTCCCATCGCCCAGCTTGCCACAGGTTTGCGTGCTCCATCGAAAAGTTGCTCGCAGCAGTGATTCAAATTGACACAGCTAACTGAATAATTTGTATCAGGTGTACCCTGGTCCCGGCGCTTCAGACGGCTTTACCATATTAACAGGAGAAGCGCCTCAAGTGTCGTCGGGCAACAAGCAGTAATTTATAAATGTTTTAAATCAGGTTGGGTCCGGATCTGGACCGTGGTCCGCTAATCCCTGACCTCTGCCATAGAGTAACGGCTGCAGGAGGGAATTCTAGAGTTCTGATGTCAGGTAAACCCTGAGGGTTTAAATTGTGGAAATTTTGATGTTTTTCTCTTTGTTTTTTGTGCTATACCGTTACATTCCCTCCCTGAAATATCATTATGACTCATGCGTGTGTGTACCTTGTCTAAGCTGGAGCTGTGGCCGTGTGGTCCCAGGTTGAGGCTGTCTCGGAGCAGGGCGCTGGCCTTGTCAGTGTGGCTCAGACTCAGCTGGCAGTTTTCTGGCTTGGACAGCAGAGCTCTGACTGACCTGAAAGTGTTGAGACACGCCTTGGGCAGCAGACTCCTGCAGGAACCGGAAATGAATCATAAAAAAAGGACACGGTTTGAGCAGTGCAAGGGTACGACTGTGTACAGTGAGTTTTTGTTTGTGCGCAGTGAGTTTGCCCAGAGAAGGCCAAAGTTATAGAAAACCTCCCTGAAACAGATGCAGCACTTACTCTGCATTCTGTAGACTGCGGGGCAGGTGCTCCACAGTTGGATAGAGCCTCTCTGCTGCAGCATCATCTCCCTGAAGCCAGTTGATGATCACTATGGCAACTGAGGACCACCATTTCGAGTGGGGGTCGCAGCCTTGTGATGGAGAAAAAAAAGTAAAAATGAGACCCCCACCAATAGACAGGCAATTATGCAAATATTTGAGCTCCCCATCGGCTTTTTTCACATTTAACATGTATGACAACACAGGCAACTGCTGTCTAGGTTCTGACCACTGACTCCATCTTCTATTAGCGTCCCACCATGTGCCCACAGAAGATCCCTTAAAGGGGGTAATATATTCAGCTGCACAATGGTGCAACCTCCAAAAAGCGCATTGTAAAACACGGAGAGCAACCTCAGGCTCTGCCAAGAAAAGTTTCCCATTAAACCCCTGCGCAGTCTCGCTTCCCTTCCTCCTTTCAAGGTGAGCACAGATTTGACAGCGCTGAAGATAAATGAAGCAATCCAGCATGCCTGCTTTTCACCGGGCCCCCGTTTCGCTTAGATTAGTAAAGACAGAGAGAAGAGCTGCGACGGTCAAAGTGGAAATTAGAATACATGATTTCAAAAGAACATGAATGGACTTAGTTTGTCGGCTCATTAGATATTGTAAACAGTGCAGGGGGAATTAGAGCGATGGGTCATGTGAGGATAAAACACAATCCTGTAAAATAAACGCTTAGATAGAATCCATGCTCTATTTTTTGCAATTTTTAGTTATTCTTTGAGTTTTTTGTTTGTCTCAAGATTGGTGCTAATACAAATACAGAAACGAATTAAAAAATGTCCAAACAAACTAATTCTACAACAGCTCTTCATTACTTGTGTAACTATAACAAAATAATAATAGTAAATATTAACAATTGTCCCTACTGTAATGTATGTTTTTTAATTACTGCATCATTCCTATATTTATGAATATAACATTGTTGAATTGTAAAGTGCATTGAGGTGACATGTGTTGTGGATTGGCCCTATATTGATACTATTGTATTTCTATACATAACATTTCTTATGCAATTATTTTTTAAAGAAAATATACAGATTTTAATACTAAGGGTACTTGAGGGGAGTTATTGATGTTTTCCTTTTTTAAACACAATGTTGGTTTAAAAAAAGTAGAGGAAAAATATGTTAATGATGATAATACTAATAACCCTCATCAACAATTTTAAAATTAGCAGCAGTGATAAATTAAAAAAATAATTTAACGAAGGTATTAACAGGATTATTGCACTTGCACTGCAGAAATGTACTTATTTATATGGTCAGTACATTTCTGCAGTGCAAGTGCAATAATTCAAATCAACTACAGTGTTGTCTTTCCTTATCTGTCTACTGTGCAGATATTTTTACATCTAAAAGAAAAATATTCCAGGACATTACCACTTTATGCTCTTTTGTACTATATACACTCTTTTTATATTGTCTGTTGTATTTTTATCTTTAATGGCATCTTGCTTTAACTCTGCCCTTTGTACTCTATATAAAATAGAGGAACAAGAATTTCCCTGAAGGAGTAATCCCAAGGGATAAATAAAGTTGAGTCCAAGTCTAATATTCTAATCTTTATGTTGGAAATTGACCTACCAGTCACAGTGGTCATATTGGAGCCGATTGCAAAGGACTGGGATGTGGCTCCAGCAGCATCTGATGCACTAATCAACAGCTGTAGGTACTCCAAGGCATCAGCGTACTCCCTGATAACAGAATCATTCCCAAAGGTCAACAGGGACTCCACACCTTCTCATTTATCAAGAACTTTTGAAACCATCACTACCAAAACCCTCTTTGTTTCTAACCTCGCCTAAAAACAAAGACATTTTTAAAAGCTGTTGGTGTTTTCTCACCCTTCTGCCTGGTTAGGGCCCTTCTCCCCATGTGGTTGGGCGACACAATAAAGAGCCTTTTCCAGGAGGTGTTCTCTAAAAGCCTGCGTCACCTGGGCCAGAGGATCAACTGGAAGAATGAGATCTTGTTAATATTACAGATGCCAAACGCTACTTCAGGACTACAGAGTAAATCAGGGTATAAAGTTCCTCTTTGCCTACCAGTGTTTCCCGCCTGGCTGTAGATGCTTTCTTTAGGTGTGCTGCGAATAGCCCAGTCTCCATCCACAAAGAAGCGGTGGCCGAGGGGGTGGCAGAGCCACTGCATGGCTGGAGGAACACAGCCGCTGGATGAAAGGCATGCCTGACGGGCACTGCTCAGGAACACGCGCTGTCAGGGGATAAGATTGAGCTGTGGTTCAACTGGTTTTGCTGGATCCAAATCAGAGAAGAACAAGATGAACTAAAATAAACTTTGAGCTTTATAAATAAAGACGTACAGATGTAAAATGTAGGATCCTTGGCAGGCTGGCTTTTACACGTAGAGCTGCAGAGACATAGACCTCAGCCAGACAGGCTACGGGGAGGCAGGAGCCGGCGCACTCTGCCAGGTTCACTGCACTTAAAGCAATGTGGACAGCTGATAGGTGGCTGCCATTCAGCTTCCCTGCAGGAAAGAAAGAAAAAGCTGTTTGTTTTTTTTTCTCAAAATGATGATAATACAATCAAATACAATGCTAAAAACATAATAAAGATCTATTTTAAGAAAGTCAAATCAAATTAACATAGGCTCTGATATCTGTCATGTTAAATCTACCGGTCATGTGAAGCTGGTGCAGGCGATGGTAAACCAATGCAGCGTCACGGCTGCTTTTGCATGCATCCTCCTGTAGGGGGCGATCTGTGCGCAGGCCTCCAGCCCTCGCAGCAAGCCATCGGCCAACCCAGAGGCGCTGAAGGCAGAATCTCAGCAGGGACCAGAGAGCTGCACAGGCCAGGTCCAGCTGGGAGGTGGGCAGGGGGCGACCAAGCGCTTTCAGACAGGTCCACAGGTTATGGCTGGCCTGAGCAAAATCACCCTGTGGGGAGGAGCAAGGATGGAAAGATGATGTACAGCACAGAAGACTGATTTCTAGTCATACTTCTGATGTAGAAAAATAAACAAGCTTACTCTAGCAAGGTCCAGGTCGGCCTGTTTGCGGTGTCTCCAGAACAACACAGACGATCCAGAATGTGGACGGGTTACAGGCTCTCCATAAACCAACAGTCGGATCAGAACTCCTGACACCAGAATACCATTCAGCAGCCACACCAATATTGTTGGGAGCATCCAATCCATCCAGCCCCAAGACTCCGCTATGGACAGAAAAGAGACAGCCAACAAGTGAAGCAATCTGTGATAACAACCGTAATCTGTGAGCGGAAGTGAACCAGCAGGCATACCTGGAATATCTACACCCAGGACACTTCTTCCTGCATGATGATGGGGGGTTAGGTCCGCAGCGTTTCCTGTAGAGGTGCTGCTGGACGAGCAGAGCAGAGCAGCCAGCGGGTTGAGGGAGAGGAAGAGGAAGGTAAAGGCGCATAATGCCATGCGGGAACGGTCCAGCATGCCTCCGATCACGCCGCCTGTTGTGGATTGCTCCAGTAAGCCCATGTGTTGCTAATGCGAAACAGGGTTTAAACAGAGACAGTTGGTGTCAATTAATTTAACCCAAGTCTGTCCTTCTTGGGCAACTAAAAACATTAAAACTGTGGACTGCTGGTAAAAAAAACGTTGCAGCGTGATAACAAGAAATAATAAAATACAGATAACCCAATTTCTATAGTGATTTAACCAACGCTAATGACTGAAAATGTTGACTGCACACCTTTGTATCCTCTGCCATTGGGCTGTCAGGCTCTGAGTCACTGCCACAGTGTGAGAACGAGCTCGGGGAGCCCACGTCAGAGGCCGGGGGAGTGGGCAGCTCACTCTTCACTTCTGCCTGACTGTCCACCTCCATGGCAACCAGGTCTTTGAGAGACTCTGAGAGGCAGAAGAAGGAAAGAGAACAGTCAGGGGGACCATCAGGGGCACCGGAGGCTGCAGCCTTGCTGAGCAGCACGCCGCAGATCACACACATAATAAAAGTTGAAATGCGTACTGTTCTTCTGAGCCGCCATTTTCAGAGCCATGTTCTCCTGTTTGAGCTTCTGGTTGCTCTGCTGCAGGTAACGGATGTAGTCAATTGCTTTCCTGAGCACTGCAGACTTGTTGAGCTAAAGGAGGAGAAAAATCACAGCCAACATGATATAAAATATTATAGATTAAATGCAACATCTACACCAGTCAGTGTCCCTCACAAAAAAAAAAATAATTTTAACCTTAAAACTGCCATTCCTTTCACCAGCTGTATAATAAGCCATACTGTTTCGTATATAAACATGTAGATGCTAAGGCATTTATTGATGGTAAATGGCATGGTACTTATATAGCTCTATTCCAAGTCAGAGGACATGACCAAAGCGCTCTACACTACATTAAGTCATTCACTAACCCACTGATGGTGGTATGCTACATTACAGCCACAGCTGCCCTGAGGCTCAAAGACAGAAGTTAGGCTGCTGTACACTGGCGCCACCAGTCCCTCTGACTAGGAGTGTAAATCAAACTCATCATGGTAATTCGATTCAGTATCAATTTCCTGACCCAACGATTCGATTATTTACGATGCTTAAAAAATTTTCCTCCGCCATGCCCGTCTTGCCTACCCTCTTCTTTCACCTCCGCTATTCCCGCCATGTCTGTCTTGCCTGCTGTTTACACGAGTGTGTGTGTGCAAATGGAAAGAGGGCAGTGGCTAAAGGAAGCGAGGTAGGAGGGCAAAATAGTTTTAGCGCCACTGCAGCACGGAAGTCAGAATTACGTCCAGGAGCAAATGGATAAAAATAGGCTAGAGGGAAAAAACAAAACAAAACATGAATCGATACTCTTGCGGACGTGTCGATGCATCGGATCGTCGGCTGTTGGATCGAGGCACTTATACAAAACGATTATTATTTACACCCCTACCTCTGACCCCAATTTGCAGGGCAAACCCCTTCATCCAGCACCAGTGTCGCCCGGATAGTTTCATATACAGATTAAAAGAAGAACGTAGAAGAAAATGTCTCTAACCTTGGCTTCAGTGCCGGCCACAATGTCTTTCAGCTCCAAGATCTTATCGTTGATGGAGGAGCGATAACGCTTCTCGATGGCATTGTGAGCTGTACGCTTCTCCCCCTTGTGCGGCTGGCCTGACACCTTGCTAGTGATAGCTATGCGGTTGATGGGAAGCTTTTCAGCGTCCACCATCACAGGCACGGTTGTCAGGATAGTACCCCCACCCATGGAGAAAGCCTGGAAATTGGGAAAAATTAGTGATTAATCTTAAATTTTAAATATTGCAGTAACGTTTTTGCCCTCATTTCTTACTTGCAGGGAAGTGGTCTGTACTGGGCTGGTGGTTGTAACTAGAGATGTGGGTGAGGACACAGTTGTGACCATACAGGGGTCTGGCTTTAGGGTGGTGAGCAACACAGACTCAGCCTTGATGAACTGAGGCTGAAGCAGCACCTGATACACAGACAAAAGGAGACCCGTAAACACCTGGCATCACACTATTATTTCAGATGCAATCAAGCAGCAAACTTGTACACTTACAGGTACTTGCTGCACTTGGGTTGTGATGGTCTGAGCTGGAGGGCTTGTTGAGGTAGCCAGGAGGGGGGAGGCAGTAGTCAAACCCTGGAGCTGGGTCTGTATAGCCACCTGCTGGACGCTTGGAGGCGACGGGGATGACAAACTGGTGGCAGGAGAGCTCACACTGCTGGGGCTGACAACTGCAGCAAAGTGACAGCATTGAGATACATTAGGAATCAAATCTTTATACACTGCATTTGTTAAGATGTTGTGCTTAATCTTATTAGGTTTGTAAAAGAATAAAGTAACGGACAGTAGTACCGGTAGTTAAAAATAAATAACTTTTACATCTTTAATATTATCTTAACTTTTGTCTGTCATTGTAGCTGTTATTTAACAAAGACTTCATATGCCCTTTTGCTAAAAGACAAAAAACTAAAGGATTTTAGTATTGGCTTACTAGAAGTATATTATTCTCATAAAAAAATAAATAAACTAAGCATTAAACATATCAAAACAGCCTGGAGGAGGCCTAACACTGATGCATAAGCAGACACCAAAGGTTGACCTGCATTTTAAAATCATATTTTTAATCAATATTTGGGGTAGGAAGCACAAAAAAAAATACACATTTGCTGACTGCATATCAGGTAGGAAAAAAAAAAAAAATCAGACCACTCTGCTCAGCATCGATTTTTACCGATTTAGCAATCAGAACATACATTTCTCTGAGAGGCTAACAGCAGCTAAATAAGCAGACTGGCTCCAATCTGTCCAATGTTAAAAGTAATAGTTAAATTACAGCATCCCCAAATCTAGATATCTCACAATGTTAAAGAAAAATTGATATGAACCAGAATTTTTCTTATTCCCACAAAACTACTGGAATGCTCGATTGGCCTAATAAATTAGCATAGAGGAAATCAGTCATTTTTGCAATCAATTTTAACTAAGCCCACCGTTTTTTTGTGTGTGTATTGTTATTAAGTCTGCAGACTGACAGATAACCTTTCACCTTTTTAATAAATTACGTATACTAAAAAAAAAAAAAAATTCAGTAAGTCACCCTTTACCCTTTATCAGATAAAACTGAGATAGCCGCAGTAATTGCCTAACTGTATCAGGGTCAGAAAGGTTCACCATGTTGTAATAAAAAAATGGATTGCAAAAAAAAAAAAAACTATGTCATCCTAATTTTTGCAATTGATTTTCTAACAGTTGAATACCTCGGTATTGTACATTGCCTTTAGCCAGTGAGTCATGGAGCAGCTTCCATTGGTAATCTGAACATTGTGGCTTCTCACTGCATACACATGCATAATAAACTACAGGGAACCTACTTAACACTGCAGGACCTACAGTATATCTACATTAAGCGCTGCACAAACACAGCCCCTTGCAAATGCTATTTAGCCAAGTCAATGAAATAGCAATTAGGGGGGATTGCTTGATTAAAGCAATATCCAAAGGCTTCTTCGTTGTGACAACTCTTTACCGTCTAATTAATAGTTGTATCAGAACACACGCAATAAATGTAAACAATATCAAAGTGAAATTAGGACATGAGCAAAGGATACATGCACAGCCTGGGAACAGCTTATTTAGTTTCATTAATGAGTTAAGCAAGTTTACATTCAAGTCATATTGATTCAAAGGAGCTGATACTCAAACACTGATGACATTCTAGGAATAAATTAGTGAGTTAAAGACAGTTAAAAGTTCCCGCTGGATTATTTTTCTATTACATAATACAGCTATAGAGCAAATGGAAACATTATGGGTGTTAAACTGTGAGACATAAAAGGAAAGAGTCCTCGAACTGAATCGAAACTATCAGAGCAGCTTTTACAAAGATTTATGATATTTTACCCCCACTTTTTAAAGCACCATTTCTTCCTTGTCGATGCGTCCGTTACCCGACTTACCTGTAAAGCTGCTCTGGCTCCTGAAGGTGCTCTGTGCCTGAGGCTGTGCCTGAGGCTGTGCTGGGGTCTGAGGTGCTGGTGAAGTGAAGAGCGTTTGTGTCGCGGGGCTGAAAGTGGGATTCGGTGAAGGCGAACATTGAGGGGATGCTGTCTGAACAGGGGTCGGCTGGGCCGGTTCCATCTGGGGCTGTCTGAGGATCTGAGCCTGCTGGCTGGGCGACGGCTGCTGCCTCTGTGCAGAGCTGGGTACCTGAGCCAGAGGAGACTGCTGGAAGGTGGAAGGCTGGAAGGCTTTGTCTGGGGTTGAAGAGCTACGGCTAATGGGTGGACCCAACAGGGCATCCAAGTGTGGATTGCTGCTCAGGATAGAGGAGGTTGTGGTGGATGAAGATGAAGGTGTGGGAGTAGAAGCTGGAGGAGAGGCAGGGGTCATGCTCGGAGACAGGCCATTGATTTCCTGGGTGGATGGGCCCCCAGAAAAGTGAGTGGGATCAAAGAGTCCTCCAAACTCCATGTCCTGATTGTTGATGAGTTGAAGCATGTCTGTGAAAATAAAACATTACAATCCATAATCCAGAAAAAAAAATTAATATAATGAGCTACAAGTTGTGCATCTGTTGTAATGATTGCCATTTACATGTGCACAAAGGCACATACAAACATATATATCTGAATTAGCTTTTGTGTAATTTTATATTGTTAGAAAACTGGTCTTGAGCTCAAGGGTGTCTAAAATATACCAACTGTATATAAATAATATTCAAATAATGTATTTTTGCAGGTTTTAAATGTGTAGAGTATTTCAATTAGGGGCTGATTTGACATTTTCTCAATACTATTCTTACTATACTAATGATAGATGTGCTCAATTTTATATATATATATATTTTTAATGTGGAGTAAAGTTCACACTTCTTGATTTGCAGGGATAAAGTCCAAGATACGCGCATCCATCAGACGTGGTACTTGGTCAATGTTGTGTCTGAAGTGCAACGCAGCTTCACTGTTGTGCATGAGGTGATCGCTCCTGACCAATCAGAGCGCGGCTTTCAGACTCGCTACGCAGAGTAAAGACAGCGAGCAGAGGGAGAGATGCTTGGCTCTAGGAGGTTACCATCGTGCAGCGTCACCAGGAGGTTACAGTCGGTCAAATTTAGGAAGCACGACCCGATACTGTTTACCTACTCCTGCTTATCACGCTAAAAGCTGGCAAAACTCATAAAATAAACAGCGACCCACAGTGGAATTATTTTAGAAAAAAAAAATCCGACTTTGCTTATAGAAATGCATCTTTTTCATCCTCCCGTGTAGTTAATACCACAAAGTGCATTGCATATTTTCTAACTTACATGGCTTGGAGCAATAAGACACCATTTGGTGTGATGATTTTAAACATATAAACTCATTAATTCGGTCAACTTAGGGAGCTGAACCCAGGAAGGAGGAATGAACGAGAGTAACCTCAGTCGGCGAGCCACGCGGGGGGCGGGGCTTTCTCACAACCGTTAGCAACAAGCTAATCTTACTAGCTTGGATAAACTGCTAAAATTAGCACTAAAACAACCAGTTTGCATACAAAACTATATAAACAAACCCCTGCAGTGAAAAATAAAACCAATATAAATGATACATGAAACCAGACTGTAAAACATTCGACAGCTAAATTGCTAATAATAGCTATGAGTCTTATTAAAGATATGCTGCTAAAGTCTTAACATTGTCACGGATGTAAATGACCTATAAGATGCGCAATACGAATTAATAGAAACCCATGCTGAAAGAAATGTCCATGCAATATTTTGTATGGCATCTTAAACATGAATAACTTAATAGCCATCAATATTAATATACAACTGCTTACCATCGATGTCGCTTAAGAGGGCTGTGTCAATTTCACTGGGGTCATTAAGGGAGCCTAGTGATGGATCCAGGTCCAAGGAGGGATCGTCAAAAGACAGGCGGTTCATCTTCACTCTCGTTGGATTCCCTGATCCAGAGAGTCTGTAATACCTGATTTCAGAAAGCTTAGAGAATCCCTTACAGCTGAAGTCTCTACATCTGTTAAACTTTAGGACTCTAAATCAAGCTATAGTTAGCCAGGGCGCTTCCTTTTAATCGATATGTCAACTAGCTACACAAACTGGCCCCCCATGATCCTCCCTGGAAAACTTGTCAAACCGATTTAAACACTGAAGCTCATTCAGCACTAGCGGAGGAACCCATACGAACCCTGAAGATTGACAGGTGAGCCAGCCAATCATTGAGCTCGGAGGAAATTCCCACGTTTCTCATGGTTGTTTTGAATGTTGAACAAAGTGGTTAAAGTGTGTGGTACGCACTTCAAAACAACTAGATAGCAATGCAAAAAGCGAGGTTTTATTAATAAGAAATATATATAATGTACTGCATCTAAAGATTTAATTATCAATCCTGTATAGGGAAAAAGTAACGGTGCAATTTCCATAAAAATATATTTGTGCTTTAAGCTGATATACATTCTAACTTTAACTCCAACATGGTTTTATATATCACATAAAATGTACAATTGTACATGAATATGGGGAAACAAAGGTGAATGTTTTTGTAAACATGATACTCTTCAGCCAATGAAATTACGTGTGGGAGGGAGCTCCCGGTAGTCAAGGTTGTTAGACTGGAATCTGCCCCACCTCCCGTAGAACCAGCGAAATCATCCAATAGGGAGCTCAGAAACCGAGTGGGGTGATTCGACGTCATAGCGCTGAATTTAACATTACATCATGTGCTGCTGTCCTACAGAAATGAGTGAGCATGCGATGTATGCCTCATGTTAAAATCTTTCACGCTATGCTTATTTCCTCTCGATGTCAACATATGCTTAAAATGATTGATTTTCATTAAAAGTAAATCTGTGCCAGCAACACAGGACTAATTATAAAACTGTGGAAGTAGGTCAATGCCCTGCTGTTGCACTGCTAAGTTGACAGCAGTTGAGTTAAACAACAATGAAGCCCTCTATTGTTGGGTTTGGTGTTAAGCATCTACCCTTAATTTTTGCACAGTAGACATTCTTTATACCTCTTACAGCTTTAGCAAGATATTCCTTCAGACTATCAACTTAATTCTGAGAATCTATCTAAATGTAGGGTAATGGCAAGAGGCCTTCACACATCAACTCTGCAAAAATGATCATTTACCTTTAATTTGAGTGGGTAAATAAGATGATTTGCCAATGGGATGAGTATTTAAACTCTTTAAATAAGATAATTAGATAATAAACACTGGAAATCAGACAATAATGGTTTTTTTCCTATTTTAAATGTTATATGTTCAAGAGTCGTACTTACCTCTTCAAATAAAAAATCCACTTATTTTAAGAAATCTGACTTTAGATTTCAGTTGTTTGCAGTGCGATACTTGTAGCTCATCACTAAAATAGTTAAAATGCAAACCGAAACATGAAAAAGCTGGTCAGCCATACCAGACTGGCTGTATTATATTAATGTAAATAATGGCTTCTCAAATAAGTCTGATTTTTTTTTTCTAAACTCACCCTACTTTGACAAAGTTTTAATTTATTAATTTTAAGATGTCTCTCTCATTTACTAAAAGAAACCCAAATAATATTAATCCCTTTGTCTTAACCAGCCACCCACACATAGACCATTCAGCTTACTTTACTTTAATTCAGCTTACTTTAATTTAATATCTGGTGCTAGGTAGGTTTAGACTTATTTAGGTATAAGAGGGGGAAAAAAAATCTTTTTTTTTTTTTTTTTTTAAATAAAGCTTGATACACACCCACACACTTGTTCTGCTATATATTGTGAGGACCATGTGTTGACTCCCATTGACTTCCGGTCATTTTCAACCCTTTTTATGCCCTAACCCTAAATTTAACCCTTACCAATGTGCACCTCATCCTAACCCAATTGACACCTTAATCCTAAACCTAACCATTAGCAAAATATCTTGTGAGGAACACTAAAAAGTCCTCACTTTACAACAACTGGTCCTCATTGTGATGAAATTGGGAAAATGGTCCAGAAACTTACACACACACACACACACACAGAAAATGTGACACATTTTCAGTCTTTTTTAAATCTTATCAATTGGAAACAGTCTAAGGTACTAGAGTGATTCCGTTTCTTTTGTATTGTACTGTATGTGTAAACAGGATTAATTTAATACTGTATATCCAGGAGCCAAATGGTAAAAGTTTAGCTATTAAACCACAGGAGGGAGAATTGACTAACCAGCACAGTTCAAGATAACGCTAGGTTACATCAGGATTAAGCCGCAGGGAACTGTTGCTAAAGAAAAAGAGAGAGAAAAAGAACAGAGTAATGAGGTAGCAGTCACACATTACCAGTGTTTTATTGGGCAGTCAGACACGTGCATAGGGTCAAATACAAATCTGATCATAAGTAATGGCAAGGTGCAGCCAAAGAGATGTTGAACACCTGAGATGTCTAAACTTTGACTACATATTGTGTTTTATGACGTTAAAGTTCCAAAATATAGACAGCTAAGACATCTGTGAAAAATGTTCTGAACTTCAAAGAAAGTAGTACAAAAAAAATGTACTGTTATAGACCCAAAGACATGTAACAAACAAATACTGAAAATAGACGTATCATCTTAAATAACCTCTAATAGCTTTCTCAGTATTTGTCATTGTACAACCTGCATGGAAAGCAATCTCAAAGCAAAACATTAACCCACCATCTCATTAAGTAGTTGCATCAATACAGCAATAATTAAATCAGTTTATTTATATAGGGCCAATTCACAACACAAATCATTTAGCATTAATACCAAATAAATCCCCATATTACATTTGAACTATGTTTCAAATATTACAAGAATAATCAGGGGGAAAAAAATATTTTTTGAGACTTTGTTGGTGGACAAAAAAAATGCTCTATAATAGGAGCTTCCTAATAACCTTACATTGCACCTAGCTGGGGGTCAGGCAATACTTTGATAAATAAATAAAAGAAAAATAGATTAATTAAAGATTGGACTTTGTTTTGGCAGGTTTTTTTTTCCATCTACACTGGAGCTAAACTGAGGATGGCGCCCACCACTGAACACACTTGACAATATAGTGTAAAATAAAAAAACTATAAAAATAAAGCAGAAAATTAAAAAAAGGGACTATATAAGGGTGTTATGACCTGTATATTTATATTATAAATGATATAAGGATCTATGTTTTTTTAATTCTGCATCTCTGTCATCTCAATACTTGTAAAAACAAATGTTGCTTTTGTCCAAGTGATTGACGTATATTGTTTTTTTTAACCTAAACTTGATATACTAAATAAACCTAAACAAGCACTGCAGTGATGAAAAAAAGAAGTGTGCAAAGTGAAGTCATTCTTAATTCTTATTTTCTCTTCAAAAATATGAATTCTAAAAACACAAAAGACAAAAAAATAGATATTTTTTTTGCAAATTGCACATACATTAATGCGTTTAAAAAAAATATATACATATACTAGTGGTCCATGCATGTTTTGGTAATTGAATCTCAGAGATAAATAATAGAAAATAAGTGTCTACTATCCTTTGTTTAAAAAAATAATTATTATTAAGGTCTCATTTTCTACTCTTAGTCAATAACTGATGAACGGGAATTAAACTTGGAATGATTTTCTTTTCATTATTAAAATATTATTAATCACTAGCAAAGATAATTTTTCATGTCCCGGACTATGAGAGGAGGCTTTGTCCATGCACTAAAAAAATGTTTAGTACAAATTCAGATGAGCAAGACATACAAACCCACCATTTGTTTTTCTGAAATAAAATCTATATGAAAAGAAGTCTGGTGATTCATTTTAAACTTTGAGGAAAATGACTTACTATTCTATTCTTATCAATGAAGATGGTTTATTTTATTTTAAAATATTTGAGTCTGGGGCCAGTTTATAGCACGTTTTGGAACGGTCCCTGCTTCAGCACACCTGGTTCCCATTAATGACTAATTACAGCAATTACCTGAACCAGGTGGTGTAAAAGCAGAGACTCATCTGAAAACACCCAGTAGACCAGCTCTCACGGACTGCAGTTAACATTTCCGAACTGTAGGAGGCGCTATTTCTGGCGTATCATCTAAATATGTCCTGTGTATTTTTGCACTATAAATATGGAATGTAAATAAATTAGCATATATCTCAAATTATGATGAGTTAAAGCAAATATACACGTAAACTATATCCCACTTTTTCTACAGATTTTGAGGCTGATGCCAAAAAAAAGGGTTTTTATCAAATAAAATAAAATCTGAGTTATTTCTTCTCAATCACCAAAACATGCACTAACCTCAACAGAGCGCATTAGTCTAACATTTTATATATTATAATAAATAAATAAAGTCCTAGTTGCTCATTAAAGCCTTACTATTCTTTGGAATGACTAAAGGTGCTTGATGCTAATTGATGGTCCCAGTTCATGTTTAAGTTTCTTTTTTAAGATGCTTAAAGTATCAAATGGACATACTTCTTCCCTTTTGTGATTTGAGATGCATTAACATGTTTTAACTGACCACCATTAAACTTCCCTTTGGTTAGAGGTTTTCCAGAGGACTCCTCTATAGTAAGAAATCCCATCAAATCAGCTTTTTCTTTACTGTGTTATCGGTAAGCAGGCAAAAACAGGTTTTACAACCGCATCAATTAATACTGATATTAAAGGTTAAACCAGAATAAAGTGAATATTAGCCGATTAAAGAATTAAGTGAACCGCAACATAATACAGATCCAACCATTATAACAAATGCATAAATATGCAATTAGCTGAATGTAGTAAAAATAAAATATTCTAAATGTATGCTTTCATAAAAATTCAATGCATCAGCCTGCACTGTTAATTTTAATAGTAATAAACTACATTCTTCCACAAAATGAGACAGAGTTCGTAGTCTTCATTTAGTGGGATTGCTGCAAATGAGCTGCAAGCCTGCGAGTTCTACATCCCACATGAACTGATTTATACATCCATCTATCGCAAAACGGAACACAGCAGAGTGTGCAGTAAACACGTTTGACCTTAATGGGTTCAAGCAAGAGAAGAGCAAGGAGGTGGAGTTCACTTGCAACACCACTTCCATCCAGTTAGCAGTAAAGTGGAACTAGAAGAGATGATCTGGAGGGGAATTATCTAGGATGACCTTCCGGATTCCTGCTGCAGAAGCTAATTTTCGCTGGAAACAGTCTACAAGGCAAAGAGGGCATCCTCTGTCCGCTCAGCCTTCTTGCTGGAGCCGGTCGTGGGTCGAGCAGGTTGAGCAGGGTTAGCTCCGGGGGGAGATGGCAAAGTGTCTGCTGCCTTAGCGCGCTCCTCTAGGAACTTATCAAACTCTGAAAGAAAGAAATCAACTCATCTTTGACATATATTATCGCAAGGACATTTCACACACCACTCATGTTTTCAGGTATAAAAAAAATACAGTGCCTTGTAAAGGTCTGGAACTTTTCTATACAATTTTTTGAAATTACAACAATTAACTTTATTGCATTTTATTGGGATGTTATATTAATGCATGGTTTTGAAAATGTCTGGACAAATAAAATCTAACAGGTTACCATCCAGCTAAGATTGAATTGTGGTGAGAATAAAAGTCACATTAACCATCTGCCGCGATCTAAATGCTGAACATCGCTCTGAACATAAAAGTTGGCAAACATGGCGGTGGGAGCTTTTAAAAAGCAAGAGCAAGAAGGCTCTTCATTGTTAAATAGAAGCCTGATAAAAATGAAAACTAAAGAGTTTTGAAGGAACCTTTTCCACAAATTTGACAAAACTATGTATAACTTTGCAATTTCAAGTTCTATCTTGCTTGATTTGAAATATCTTTCAAATTAAATCCCAATAAAATACATTCAAGTTTGTAGTTGTTAGCATTAAAAAGATCTGAAGAAGTTCGAGAGGAATGAGAGGAATTTTAGAAGGCTAACCTTCACTGGTCACTCCCTCCTCAGCAGCATCTCCTTTCTATTTAAAAGAGAGAAGCAGTTGTAAGGAGAAAAACTTTAGCTAAACCATTAAGTTAGAAAATAAAAACTCGTTGTTCAGCTGCAAGTAAAATTCACAACACGAAGAATCTCAAATTCATGCAAACATTAGACAGCAAATAACCTTTCTGAGCCCCTTAACATCTTCCCCAAGCTCCAGTATTCAACCAGATTAGTAAGACAGACTTAAAGAATTACACCTAATAATTGTGGAATAAAACAGGCTTAAAGTGAGAAGAAAACTATTAAGTTTAAGGAAAATATGATTAGTAACATAAATTGGATGGATAAAAAAAAAAAAAAACAGTAGCAAAGAAAACAAGAAGAAAGGAGAAGGAAACAGGACAAAAAAAAGAAAATCAAGGTATTAAAAAGTCTCACCACATCAGCACAGAGCCACTCCTCTATGTCATCCATGACAGAGGACTGCGACACGGGGATCTATAGAACAACACCATGGACGAACCAAACGGTTGCACCAAGGCCATAAAAGTAAGAGACAAACAAACCCCAACAAAAAAAAAACAAAAAAAACACAGATGCAACACACAAACATCAAGAAGAAGAACCACCAAATAGACACAAATGATAAAAATAGACAAAAATAAAAAATAATTTTCTCAAAGGATAAAAATAGCTACTTTAAATATAATCATCAGCCAATTGGAGAGTCTACATATGAGAGCCCGTCTTCCAGTTTGCATATTACTCTTTTTGACTTCATTGTGCACGCATAGCTGAACAGCTGATGATGGATGTCACACAGCCGCAGTCCTTATTTCATATCATTAGTTAATCAGCAAGTAGTTTGAGCGGGATTCTGAGATTGATTGGATGCGGAAAGCTGAGAGCGCAGGGACGGTGAAATGACAGGGCAGGTGCACGGAGCGTGCATGCTCACAGGATGGGGCGCAGGGCGCGTCAGCATGGTGTACAGTTATGCTGCTGATGAAAGCCACGCCAGAGCGGACGGCGGTTTTATACATTTCTATCTATATGTTCCATGAGGGAGTTAATGAGGAATTTGCTGTACTGGGTACGTTTGGAAAAAAAAAATTCACAAGAGTGAGAGCAGAAATATATTAACCTCTGCTTTCTACCAGGAGAAAAAAAGTCTAATAACCGTATCTCCACTCACTCTGGTGCTTTGAAATAACATCAAAGTTTGGTTTTTAGCTCAACATCAACAGATCATCACAGACGGTGATGAATTTCTGACGCCGTACAAAAAGTTGGTAGTTTCCTTTTGTGAGCACAGTTTATGTAAGGTAGGAGCATATAGAAATACAGGTTGAGGGAGTTAGGCTATGAAGGCTGTTCAAAAAAAAAAGAAACTCATGCAAACAAAGAGAGGAGAAAATATTACAGAAAAGTGCAAAATAAGACACCTGTTTCTAATAAAAGTCAGCGATGCAACATTTCACACATAAAGTGAGATTAAACTACACTGCTCAAAAAATGAAAGGAACACTTTGAAAACACATCAGATCTCAATGGGAACAAATTCATGCTGATATTTACACTGATATGGACTGGGGGATGTTTTAGGAACGAAAGAATGCCATATCATTTGATAGAAATGAAAATGATCAACCTACAGAGGGCTGAATTCAAAGACACCCCAAAAATTACAGTGAAAAAATGATGCGGCAGGCTAGTTTATTTTGCTGAAATTTAATTTCAGCAACTCAAAATGGTATTCAGTAATTTGTATGGCCCCCACGTGTGTATGCACGCCTGACATCATCAGGGCATGCTCCTAATGAGACGACGGATGGCGCCCTGGGGTATCTCCTCCCAGATCTGGACCAGGGCATCACTGAGAACCTGGACAGTCTGAGGTGCAACTTAGTGGCGTCCAATGGATCGAAACATAATGTCCCACAGGTGTTCTATTGGATTTAGGTCAGGTGAGCGTGGGGGCCAATCAATCGTATCAATTCCTTCATCCTCCAGAAACTGCCTGCATACTCTCGTCACATGACGCTGGGCATTGTTGTGCACCAGGAGGAACCCAGGACCCACTGCACCAGCATAGGGTCTGACAATGGGAGCAAGGATTTCATCCCGATACTAGCCTGTATAGGTCTGTGCGTCCCTCCATGGATATGCCTCCCCAGACCATGCCTGACCCACCACTGGTCATGCTGAATGATGTTACAGGCAGCATAACGTTCTCCAAGGCTTCTCCAGACCCTTTCACGTCTGTCACATGTGCTCAGGGTGAACCTGCTCTCATCTGTGAAAAGCACTCGGTGCCAGTGGCGGACTTGCCAATTCTGGTGTTCTGTGGCAAATGCCAATTGAGCTCCACGGTCTCGGGCAGTGAGCACAGGGCCCACTAGAGGACGGCGGGCCCTCAGTCCACCCTTGTGAAGTCTGTTTCTGATTGTTTGGTCAGAGACATTCACACCAGTGGCCTGCTGGATGACATTTCGTAGAGCTCTGGCAGTGCTCCTCCTGCTCCTCCCTGCACAAAGGAGCAGATACCGGTCCTGCTGATGGGTTGTAGACCTTCTACTGCCCAGCTGAAACTGATTAACAACCCATCTGCTACTTACCTGACCAAATTAATATCCCAGAACTTTAATTAAATTGATGCTATACTCTGATCACAAAGTGTTCCTTTAATTTTTTGAGTAGTGTATATAAACAAACTTCTATGGTCTTTGTTAGTCATTTTATTGAGGTTATTTACTATGTGAAATGTGGAAGATATGAAAACAGAAAATACTCCCCACAACACAACAATGGTTTCGAAGCATTTTTCTGAACTTACTGACTTTAGTTTTTAATTGTGGCTGTAAGACAGGGCCTAATAGCCCACTCTAGACCTTTATACCTCAGTTTTCAGTTTCATAAAGAGTTTAGTCAACCTGTTTCTGTTACCGTGGTAACATTCTCCCTAGAGCTAACCAGGTCAGGAGCAAGTTTTGTATCCTATGTTTTCGCTCTCCTTAGAGCCAATGACATCGTTTTATTTCCTGATTTAGTCAGGAGATTTCTGATCCAAAGCAGCTGCAAACAGCCAATTAGTATTTACTGTGTGATGGAAGGCAGAATCAAAATGAGGAGGAACCCCATGAGATAATGCACAGGTCCTACCAGTTAGAACAACGATTTTAGACTTCATCTTCACCTACTGCCAGGTGATTGCACCACTGAAGCAGTAAACTACTTTTCTCCGTAATGTAACTTTGGTTACTTTTGGTTATTTTGGCAAGCCATTTTTATATTTATTAGTTTAACTGAATTTGTATTTGTAATATCTAAAAAAAAATGTACCTGTCAAAATGACAATTTCAAACAAAATGACTTTCTTCATATCTAAAATAAACATATTGGGTGTCTAAAATGAATTTTAGAATTTCAGATTCCTATTGTTAATGGTCAGCATTTGTATTATTTTGACCATGAAGAAAGGTATTTCAGATATAAATACATTTTCAGTCAAGCTTAAGAATGTCAAAATGGCCACTTATAATGTGTGAACATTTGTAGGTAAATAAAACTTAATTCTCAGTAGTACAATTTTGTTTTTCCCCTTCTGAAATTCAGTTTCTGCGGCACAAATGTAATTAAGAAAATCTGTTATTACTGATCTGACAATGAATGTGGTTTTGACCAGGAAGAGCCCTATTTTAGTGATCTACAAATTGAACAACAGAGAGGAGAGCGCTTTTAATACATCTAAACATTGCCTGCCATAACAAACTTCATATAAACCTGAGTATTAACTCAGGATGAATCTTCTCTTTTAAACACATCCTTAATTTTGTTTTTATTTCTGCTTTAAAATCTCTGGTTCCAGTGGGATAAAACAATGACTCGTTAAATCGGGGCACCACTAATAATGGCTTTTCAAAGTCGTTACTTGCGTGGTCAACTGAGTTAACCAGACTTACTCAGATTTGATTTAACTGACTCACAGCAGCTTTAATGATACCAAAAACTCAGCATTTCCAACCTCAGGCTGGATCAATTAAGAGCTGAATTAAGAGTTTACGGATGTAAAGGTTGGTGCACTGAATGGCTCTTTAGCGCCCCTTGTTGGCCTAGCAATGCACTAAGCAGCTACTAGGTCTGCTTTGCCTTGGGCCAGCTCTGTCCAGAATAGTTCTTGGATTTTTTACGAAATCTAATATTTAAAGATCTGATGACCCAAATTGTTCTTAGTTTTCCACATTGAAACTTTTTTTTTTTAAACATTGGAAAATATATTTACAGTTACACCATCTAAAACGTTATTCAAAATTGAAAATATGTCTTGCTGCCTTGGGGGAGTATGTCCACTTCTTTGGGTTTAGTGAGTGTTTGCTACAGGATAATGAAGCATTAAAACAAAACCATCAGACCCATTATAAGATCTATGTGGAAGTGGTTTTACAGTAACTAACCGTAATAAACATGGTGTGTAGTGCTCTGTCAAAAACAAATGTATAAAAGAGGTGGGCGAAATTAATCTCATCTTCAATGAAATATATTGATTGAATGAAATATATTTGACATATTTTAAATGGAAAGCATACTATATGAAAACTTTGTATGTAATAAAATAAAATATTGATTGATTCTCAGCTAATGCGACCGACAATATTAACAATATTTTATTTCTGTCGTAATTTTTCCCACCACTAGAACACATCTGTATTAAATATGAAAGTAAATGCTTAAGGACAATAAACACTGTTATTAGGGTTGGTTATGGATGTCAAACCAAAGTGTTGAGGTGAGGCTAATAAAAAAGCTGATGAAGGTAATGAATGAGGCTAGCGTAAATGCTGGTAAAAACAAAGGGAGGGCTAGGAGGACACACTGTGGATAGAGTCCTCACCATTCCTTGGGTAATAAGCCAGCTGTCTATGGGCAGCTCCTGATCTGCTGGGTTATCATCCCCTTTTACCCTCAGCTGAATCAACAACAGAATAAGACCTTACTCAAGAGAAGAAAGGCCCCGACCACAGCATAGCACACAGTCCAGAGAAAGAAGACAGAGGAGAAGTCAAAAGTGCAGGAGACAACTTTCATTCAAAGAAAATTAAAAACCAAAATAAAGGATGATTTTGAAAAAATAGGAATAAGGAAAACAAAGTGGGGAAAAAAGGAATTTCAATTCAATAAAAAAGTAAGTCATGAAACTCCAAATCTGAGTAGAACTGTTCAGAATGTGGAAACACACCAAGAGATAAGGACAGAAAAATCTGAATTTGGACAACAGACTATTAAGATATGTTTTTAGATCCAAATCTATCTTCGCAAATGACAAAAAGATTGAGATACACATCTTAACTTATAAAATAACATTGGTTTTAACCCGCTTTAGCCCACTTTCAACACTTCATTTAAACCTACTAACTTTCTTTCCTCAGCTAAACAAGGCTTCCTTTTTTTTCTTCTAACATTTGATCATTTACAGTAGCCAATAATAAACAGCAGGGAGCCACTAGAAAAACAAAACCTAAAATAAAGATTTTGTAGATCACACCCCGAATGCTCCCTACATGTTAAAGTTAACAGAAACTCCATGCTCCAATGTACTCACCCCACTTGTGTTTTGTTGTCTCACATCCAAAGCAGAGGCTAGGCCTCCCAGAGCGTGGGGTTCTTCATATTTTACGCTGCGCACCAAAGTGTGAAAACTAGTTAATGCTTATAAAAAAATTAGCAGAAAAATAGGAAACAAATATTGAAAAAAATAGGTGAGATAAATTCAGATTAGTATTATTCTAATCTCAGGAAATGGAAAAACAGACCTCTAACCTCTGGATAAGCAGCATTAGATTCCATTAGTATGTTATTGTATAAGGTAAACATTACAAAGCTGGAAAAAAATAATGAGGGAAAGAAGAGCAATACTATGCAATAATTCTCTTAAATTTTTCAGTGAACAGCTAAAGGGTTCAGAAAGATTTAGAGCAACATTATGCAAGCTCTTTAAGACCAACTTGATCCTCTGTGATTGCAGGGAAGGAAATGCTGAATATAACACAAACATGAGCCCCATCGTTATGCAAAGAGGAGCAAAGTAATGTTGCAGGCTGCTTTTTCAACTAGGAGATCAAAGCATAATTCAACCAGAGATATTGTAATGATATATATAGTGATTCTTCTCTGCGCTTTCTAGTTGATGCTCTGTCCTTTCCGATCCAAACCCATCCATTTAAAACAGATCTGGACATTGTATTTCTTTTTTTCTTTTGTAATTGAGCTAGCTTACTAAATGATTAGGGATCGAGTTATCTGTTATTCAAAAAATGATATGAAAACCTACTTTTTGCGTTGTTCAGCCAGTGAGCTGCTCCTGGTCTGGGCGAACATGTCAAAATCGTCCTTATTTGGGCCCGACAGAGAGGTGAGTGTACCGCTCACAGTGTCGGGGCCTACATCTGGATCAAGAGAAGAAGAAAGCTGATCTAAACATTGATCGCGTTTGTCTGTTCGGCACAAAATACTAACTTCCAACATAAAAAAAACTTTTGAAAACTGAGAAAAATGTGTAACTGGTCATGGAAGGAAAGAAACTCTAGTTTACTGTTTATATCATATGAAGATCTGCAGAAATGTTCAAGGTCTTATGGCAGCAGCCTCCAGACTTCAGTCAGTCTCCTTTTTAATGCATTTAAAAGGAGGTTAATGGAAACTCTTTTTACTTTAACCAATTATCAAAATGATAAGAGAAAAAAGACAAAAAAGGAATTAAGAAGCTCTAATTATGAAAGTAACGGGCTTTTTTCCTGTCCTGGATCTTTCAATCGATCAAAGATCCAAAAAAAAAGGAAAAAGCTAACACTTATCTCCCTACCAAGATTAGCGAGTGCAGTAGATAAGGAAGCTGTGGGGTTGTGAGTTGCTGACGCTGCGTCTCTCTGGGCGGAGCTGGATGGAGGGCTGGACGTAATTCTGGGTGTAACCACGGCGGGAGAGCCTGGCCCCAGGTCTATGAGGTTATCTTCTGTAGTCTCAGCTAACATCTGAGGGAAAAGATTGGAAAGATACATATTAAACCTAAATAAGCTTGAAGATGCCATGTTTAAGTTCAGGGAGAATGGAGCAGTCAATCATTGTTTAGAGCTTCAATTAATTAGGTTTTTTTCAAAAGTTAGATGATTAAAAGCAACATATTTGATCACACTGAAATCAGACCAGTTCATATATACATTGAAACAAGGTTTAATATATATATAGTAGGCTTTGTTAAGAATTAAGTAAAGTGCCTTTTAAAAGTACTCATTGTTTTGGAACGTTTATTTTCTATTTTGTTAGGATTAATGCAACAGATCAGCATGTATAATAAACTGGAAGAGAAATGGGACATGATACCATTTTTACCATCCCTGAAAAACAAGTCTAGAAAAAACTTTCACTGAAAGATATTTGCATTCTTTAGAAACAGCTTTAGTGAACATAGATCTTCAAATCTGGCCACAGACTCTCAATCAATGAATTAGCATCTGTTGACCCATTATCACCAGCTTTATATCTTGATGAGGTAAACATCCCTACAGCATGACGTTGCCATTACTGTTTGTTTAGATGGTTTGTTAAGACTATGAGAAAGTGTTCATACAGCAGACCTCACATGTCCAGTTTCAGATTTTAAAAGTGTTTCATGTTATATTTTGATTTCTTGTGTATTATATAACAACTGTGATGATAGTGTTTTGGATTCCCCCACCAAAAAATCTCTGTCATTGTTCCATAAAGTGCTACATATCATAATACAAAACACAATGTAATTTTTCTCTGTTGATGATACATACCCCGTTGTTTTGTGCAGCCCTGCCCAACCTGTACCTCTCATACCTGCGAGCGAAAGAGAATCATGTGAGTTTCACCTCCTGTTTTGTCTCTTATTTTAAACACCTGAAGTTTTTTGCAAAACGCAGAAGATGGTAGAGTACTGCACAATGCTTTTTGTTGTAAGGCTTATTTCGTAAAATGAAAACTATCATCAAAATGTTTAGTCACATTTGAAAGATGAAGAGTAAACTTTATCTCTCACCAAGCACATACACTCAGACTTTTAATCAACACACCTCTCATATCGAAGGAATATATTGTTGAGGTCGTCATTGACGTGCAGAAGCTCCTCAGTCACTTCCTCGTTGGACACACGACCTATTAGCTCAACCACTCTCTGCTGCATGGCGCGGCATGTTCTGTTAAGCTCCTGGATGGAGGGACATGAAGACAGATTGATGCAGGGAAGACAAAAGAGCTGTGAGAACCCTGCAGTGCAAAAAAAATTTAACCAAACAAAAAAAAAAAAAGACAAAGAAGCTCTCCTTTGCCGATTTTTACAGACATATATTCTTAAAGAAGATGAGGATATCTACACAACTTCATGATTCTGTAACAGTGTGGTTTTAAGTGGCAGCCGTTTTTGAGCAGTAAAGCCAAATCCATGGCGCTGACACAAATACCTGAGTGGATTTGGCCAGAGGACGTTAAATTCTACACAGATCCCTGTAACCCTGGCCGACTGCCACCTCAGGGAATATCACCTCCTTCTCTCTCTGTTACTGCTGATGGTGTGAAAAGTCGACACATCACACCCCCTGATGGACACCAGGTGTTACAACAACTCACTTTGGACGCTAAAACTGAAATAAATTTTGGCTTTTTGTCATTATTTCTACATTCTTTTTTTGTTTTATGTTGGGATTAAAGAGTGATCTGAGACTGTTAAAGACATTAACACAGATGAATAAACTAATCAACTCAGATCTCACCTGGAGGAGCTCCAAGTCAGAAGCATCTTCCTGACCAGGGACCAGTTCTGTAAGCATCTCTGACATGACTTTAATGTTTCCTCTCACAATGTCCAGCTCGCTCCGTAGCCGCGCAATCTATAAGCCCAAAAAAAAAATATAAAATCAGTAAATGGTCTCCAGTCTGATGGTAAAATCTGCTTTTATTTATCACTTGATTTCAAATCAACGTCTAAAATTCAGTTATGAAGCGAGTTATCACCTGTTCAGGAGTAACAGTGACGGGGCTGGGGATGTTGGAGGCCTGTGTGGTGGTGGGAGTGGACTGGCTGGGTTTAGGAGGACCCCCAGTTGAATTGTTAGGAGCGAGGTACTTCAACATAGCTGGGTCCACTTCAGGGGTACCCTATGGTTTGAAAGAAAACAGCACAGTTGTTTAACCAAATTCCTAAACTTTCATGCAGGAAAAGTTTTTATTCCTACCCTCTGTGGCGTGTGAATTGGAGACAAAGCATCCAGGTCTGCCATCGGAAACTCAACGCCTTTCCTCTTCAGCTCCTCGTAGATATGGACCACGCCGGTAAGATCAGGACTGCTCCTAAAGGCATCAGCCCAGGACTATAGGGTAAAATTCAATTAAACACTTTAACTGTCTAATTTAATTCTGACAATCAGTAAAAATTTTTAAAATAAACAAAACAACAATGAAATACAAGATGAACTCTTGCATTCTCCTTCAAAAATCGTCAACTCAACAAACAATTCTTTCCAAATGCTGATAATTAAATAGAAACCATCTGTATTCTTAGGTAACCTCGTAAAAAAAAAAAAAAAACAACACTAGAAGCTGTATTTAATCAACGGTCTTACTAAAACACATGAAAGATTTTGGCAGTAACACCAAAAAGTGTGAGAGGTGGCGTACAATTTACACCACAACACCGCTATGTTTTTATCTCGAAAGAGAAAAATGGAATGGATTCCTGTGAAAAAAACAACATAGCCATACAAACAGGGAAAAAAGGAAAGAAAGCTTTGTTACTTGTATTAGGGACAGCACTTTGTCCTGCACGATTGTGGGTGGGTTTGCTTTGGGGGAGATTATTTTGACCAGGACGCCGTCGATAAAATCTCTGTTGGCCACATGGACGTGAAACCTGTGACCACAGTTCTTTACACATGTCTCCAGAACCTGCAAAAACACACCAGTCACGCAGAAAAATGTTAACAAATAAAGTAACAAAGGAGAAAGGAAGGAATATATACAAGAAGCTGATCAGAGGCAGAATTAGTGTGCTGTTGCCCTCTGTTAAGGTTAACTCTCACTATTGGCTCCCCTTTTCTCAAAAAAAAAAAAAAAAAGGTTATCCTTGACATTTATATGGATCAAATAAATGAAAGTACAGTTATTAGAGTTTCTCAAGTTTTCCATGTAAAAATTCAAAACCTTTTTAGACCTAATTTGTCTTTTTTGTTGTCCTGTTGAAGGAAGGAAGGAAGGAAGGAAGGAAGGAAGGAAGGAAG